CTGGGGACGGATGAAGGTGATCTTGCTGTAGCGATTTGACGCTCTTGTTGTTGCTCTTTTGTTTAAATTATATCTTTCGGGCAGATCAGAGTTTCAGAGAGCCGCAGGATGACGGAGTTCTAGCATAGTCACCGTCGCACACTTTTAGAAGTTGAAGCTCCACTATATAGTTATGTTCATTGTTTAGATTTTAGAGTTGTATTCGTTTTGTAGAGGCTGAGTGTCTTAGTGAGATTTCATTTGACTCATTGTGTTGAGATGTATTTCCGACTCAGAGATATTTTCATTCTATTTCAATTGGGCTCATTTGTTGATATACTTTTTCTGTACATATCTGATTTTGGACTACTTCTATTATTTGCCTGTTTTGTACCTTCACCTATTTATTGTTTTTACTAGAGAGATAGTGACTGTGATGGTAAAACATGTCGTAGCATGGTGTTTAGTACTTGGTAGGTTTGACAATCCGGGTTTCACCTTGGACTGTAGCCTTCTGTGAACCCTGGGACGTCACAATCAGTCAACCGATGAGGTATTGGGCTAACTCTAACAGTTAGCTCATCAGTCGACTGATAAACAGTATCAGTCGATTGACGGCTCCAACGGGTAGATTTTCCAACTTTGTCCTGTTTTAGATTTTTGGTCTTTTTGCTTTGTTTTTCATTGTGTTTTGGGGTCTCTATAAATACCCCTCATACCTTAGACCTAAAACCATCTAAGAGAATTTTTTTAACAAGTTTAATTGTGTTTTTTTTGTTTAAAAAGAGTGTTTATACAAGTTTGTTTGTAAAGAAATTTTCGCAAGAGCAAGAAGAGATTGTCTTTGGTGTTTGAGCATTCAACTCATCTCTCTCTTGAGAATTCAACTCATCTCTCTCTCTCACTCTTGATCTATAGAGAAGTTTTCCTTAAACTCAATTCCAGCTATTTATTGTTTTTATCTTAATTTCCATAAGCTAGATTTCTATATTGAGTTTAATTGTTTTTATTTTTCTTATTGTTTACACACACCACCTATTGAGCTTCTAGTATTTTTATACATAGTATATTTAAGGTTGTGAAGAGTTGTAACAATTGAGAGTGAGCTTAATTGAGTTATCATCTATGGTAGAGAACAAACATTGTATTTATGCTTAACTTGTGAGATCACTTTGTAATACACTTGTACAACGAGAGGAGTGTGTGGTGAGAGACGGGATCGTCCTAAGAGGAGTGACGTCAGTAGTAAATCCTAGGGAGAGGTTATAAATCTGAGCACTTGAGGAAGACACGGGCTGGAGACCAACTCTTAGAGGGTGTAGAGTGTGATTGCAAGAGTGTATATTGTAAAGTTTTTGGTGAGCTAGAAAACAGAGTATGAGGTGTAAACATTTTTGGGTGAAGGTCGAAAACCCATTGTGTAGTGGATTCTCCCCGGGAGTGGGGAGCGGAGACGTAGGTCGGAAGGACCGAACTTTGTGATCATTTCCTTGTGTTTGCATTTGCCTTGGCATATTTATTTTGTGCTTTGTTGTTTTTTTATATCGCTATTGGTCCATGTTATTTCACCCTTGTTTATATTGCATATCCTTGCATATAATTGTTTTATATCATTCTTGCTAAGATATATTTGTTAATTAGTTTTAATTAGCATAAATCGGATTAGATTAGCATAAACCCTATTCACCCCCTTCTCTAGGGTTCTTTTCTAGTGGCATTAGGGTCTAATAGGTTTATCTAAGACATTTTGGATACGGCCTTGATGAGTTCGGATATCGTCTGTGGGATGATAAGAACAGGAAAATCATCAAGAATAAAGATGTCATATTTAATAAAGATGTGATGTACAAAGACATGGACAATGTCAAGGATAGCCAAAGTAGTGGGAGCAGCACTAAGGATGTAGGTGGATCTGAGTACATGGATTTAGAAGAACTTTCAAATGGGAGAGATAATGTCAATTCTGACCGAAGAACGGAGGAGACTCCAAGTGCATAGACAGGTACCCAGAGCAAGGAGCTTAGGAGGTCATCCAGAGTACCAAAACCAAATCGTAGATATCTTTCGTCACTAGATTACTTACTTTTGACAGACAGTGGAGAAACAGAGTGTTATGAAGAGGTAATGCAAGTTAGTGAATCTCGGCAGTGGGAGCATGCGATGCAAGAAGAGATGGATTCTCTCCACTCGAATGAGACATGAGAGTTAGCCCAATTACCTACACAGATGAAAGCCTTACATAAAAAGTGGGTCTATCGGGTCAAACAGAGAGTGATGGAAGTAAAAATTACAAGGTCAGATTAGTTGTGAAAGGGTTCTAACAAAGGGAAGGAGTAAAAATTATAAGGTCAGATTAGTTGTGAAGACTGCCTTTTTTCATGGTGACTTGGATGAAAAAATCTATATGAAGCAACCTGTTGACTTTATAGAGAAAGAAAAGGAAGAAATAATGTGTAGGCTCAAGAAGAGCTTGTACGGTTTGAAACAGGCTCCAAGACAGTAACATAGAAAGTTTGATAACTTCATGCAGAACAATGGCTATCACACATGTAATTCAGATCATTGTTGCTACTTTAAGATGTTCGAGTCTAGCTATATTATGTTATTGTTGTACATAGATGACATGTTAGTTGCAGGGTCATGTTTACAGGAGATTAACAGTTGAAGAAACAGTTAGCAAAGGAGTTTGCCATGAAGGATTTGGGTGCAGCCAAACAAATTCTTAGGATGCGAATCAGTTGGGATGTGGCTGAAGGGACGCTAAAGTTGAGTCAGGCGGAATATATTGAGAAGGTAATTTTAGAGATTCAACATGCAGAATGCGAAGGCCATTGGCTCACCCCTTGGAAGTCAGTTCAGGGTATCTGAGTAGCAGTTGCCAAAGACAGATACAAAGAAGGAGTTCATGACCAGAGTGCTATACTCATCAGCCATTGATAGTCTTATGTATGCGATGGTTTGCACGAGGTGGATATCGCACATGTAGTGGGAGTTGTGAGCAAGTTTTCCAGCAATCTAGGGAAGCAACATTGGGAGGCCGTGAAGTGGATATTATGATACTTGATAGGGATTACGAATATGTCATTGTGTTTTGGGAGAAAGAAGTTGGTACTGTAGGGATACATATGCAGACCTTTTCGGTGATCATCATACAAAACGAAGTATCATGGGGTATGTTAATATCCTAGGGTCGACAGCAGTGAGCTGGGTCTCGCATTTCCAGAAGATAGTGACGTTGTCCACGATTGAGGCAAAGTATGTCACAGTAACTGAAGCTAGCAAGGAGATGATTTGGTTGACCGGATGTCTGGAAGAGTTAGGTCTGAAGTGGGAGAACAGAGTTCTTTATTGTGATAGCCAGAGTGCTATACATCTTGCTAAGAACCCACTTTATCATGTCAGAACGAAGAACATCGATGTGCGTTACCACTTCATACGCTCGCTGATAGAGGACGGGAAGTTACTTTTGGAGAAAATTTTATGGAGCCAAAATCCTACAGATATGTTGACTAAGACAGTGACCATCAAGAAACCGGAGTTGTGCGTAACTTCAGTTGGCCTTCACATGTAGGAGATAAGGGCGCAGCCACACTAGGAGGACAGGTGGGATCACCAAGATTGATATTGATTGAAGAATAAAAATTTTTTGGGGGAGGAAAAGATGCTTGCGATGATGGCCGATGTTCAAGAGAGCTTGTTGATGGAGGTTTGGTCTTCACGTGGGAGATTGTTAGTTTCGAGAGTGTAGACCCAAACCTAGAACAAAATCAACAAGCTGGAAAAACCACCGTGATCAGTTGACTGAAGGGCAGACATCAGTCAACCGATTCGACTGTAGGAAAGAAGCTGGAAAAACATTGCTCTGGTCGGTCGACTAGCAGGGTGCCACTAGTCGACCGATACCGTGCACGAAGTAGCCAGAAAGCCCTTACCAGTTGACCGATGAAGCACCATCAATCGTCCGATATCGGGTCAAATTGTTTCTTGATTCGGTTTGGAATCTGTTTTGAGTTAGTGTTATATATATATATATATATATATATATATATCCTTAAAAATTTTTTAGGGTTTGTAATACACGAAAAAGAGAGGGTTTTGAGAGCATTTTGAGATCAGAGATCTTAGAGAGAGTGACCTATTGCAAGCTTTTTAATCTTTATCAATAATCAAGGAATTTCTGGTGTGGCTCCCGAAGACGTAGACACATTTGCCGAACCTCGTTAAATCTGATGTTCTCTCTTTTATTTATTCTTTCCTGTAAGTTTTTTCGATTTGATGTGATTTCTTGCTTGCTGATTGTTCGTCACAAGATCCGGATGGCACGGGTTGTCGATTGTTCAACCCCAACACCTAAGCCTAACATCACCCTGATGACGTGCATAAGCATGTGTCACGTAATATAATGCTTGCTAATATTTAACTTTGAATCAACAAAAGGGAAACCCATTGGAAAAGCGTCGTAGACAAATTAAAACGACCATGATGAAGTCAGCTCTTTGAACGCCTTGTAGTTTGTGTCAATTTGAAAATTTATTTATCCAGCAATTTTATTACCATATATCTTACATAAATACATGAAATAAAAATATAGCTTTCAAGCTGTTGCCAGATATATTCATTTTCATCGAAAGAAACGATTTTCAGAGCAAAAAATTAATTTATTACCATTAATTCTTTTGGAAAGATAACCGTTGCAATTTATTACCATTAATCTGGCATAGCAATTTCGCCAAAACTAGAAATTTCCGGGCGTCATGTGTTACATGTATGACCATTAAAAATTAAATTGTTTTCATATCTGTCATAATTAATATTCTTCTTTTTCCTTATCAATTCATTTGGAATGTGTAGGTATTTCTGTATGAACTTGCTTAGTATTTTCTGCATCTGTTTCTTTACAACTGTTATGCTCCAAAATGGGAACTGAACCTATTGTTCTATTAATAGGCCCATGAAATTTGATACCAGCATTCTCATAAAATCTCCTGATATTTATTTCTCTGTGGGTGCTACTTGCAAACATGAGGAATAATGAATTGAAGAGATTGTTCCATCAGTTAGATGAAAATGGTGATGGAAAGATATCACCATCTGAGCTGCAGAATTGCCTCAGGCTCGTTGGGGAGGAATTATCAACAGACGACGTTGAAGGTTTCATGGTGACGGTTAATGAAGACGGTCATGGGCTCCTTCGTTTCGATGATTTCATCAAACTGTTAAAGATCGAAGAAGGAGGAGAAGAAGAGCATAGGTTTTTGTGGGAAGCCTTTAGAGTTTATGAGATGGAGGGAGAGGGATGCATCACCCCGAAGAGCTTGAGGAAAACGCTCGAAAAGCTCGGGCAATTGAAGACTGTTGAGGAGTGCAGGGAGATGATCCGAAGGTATGACGTTAATGGAGATGGTGTTTTATGCTTCGATGAATTTAAGAAGATGATGCTACGAACGTAGGTTGGTTTTTGAGATTGATCTTTACCGTAAATGATGAATTTTGAAATAAGATGTTGTTGTGCCCCGGTGAGATTTGGACATTACTTTTTCTTTTCTTTTTTTTTATTTGAGATGACTTTGATCAGTTGAGGGTTCATGGTGACAATATATCTACGTTTTTAATTTCTCACATGACTGTGGATTTCTTCTTATGAGCTTCTGTATTTGCAAATTGTGACTGATTCTGTTGTGGAGGTTTTTTTAGTCACCAGGCCGAGACGCGCAGAGCAATAATTTATTAGCTAGAAGAAGAAAAGGAAAAAAAGAAAAAAATAAAAAGAAAAAGGAAAGGTAAGAAAAAGTAGAGTAGAAGGAAAATGAAGAGAAATGTCGTAATTAAGAAAGAACGAAAATGTGTATGAATGTATCTCTACGAATGAAATTGCCACGGTGCTCTAAGTCGGCCACCTACTTTGCAGTAATCTGATGTTAGATGATCACATAATCTGACAATAAACAAAATATGTATCTAAGTTTATTTTAAAAAACTCTTTCATTTGTTTGAAGAATTTGTTTCATAAAATTACTAGGGAAAAATGTGTCCAGGCCCCAAAAACATAAACTACATGTGCTGCAGCCCCTTCTAGTTTCCCCCATGTGGTTCAGCCCCTTGAAGTGTGATGTATTGTGCTGCAGCCCCTTTTTAACAATTATTACATGCTAACTAAGCTAAAATCCCCAAAATAACCTTACCCACTCTCCTCAATCCTTCAAACCTAGTTCTCTCTCTCTCTCTCTCTCTCCCCCCTCTCTCTCCCCTCTCTCTCTTTAAGAACAAGGGTTTTATCAAGCTCATCACGCTGGCCCTCGCCCTCCTCGCCGTCGCCACCTCCGCCCAGGCTCCCAAGCCTCCCCCGAGTTCGTCGCCGCCTCCCCTCCTCTCCTCCGCCCGACCTCGTCGCGGTAGCTCGCCGTCGCTCCCCATCTCGCCCTCGACTACGCCGGAGTTCGTAGCTGTGCCTGCCATTTTTGAACCCATAGTATGGTAGGCCGGAGGAGGATGACCAAGAGAAAAGAGTGCATGATGCTCAAGAAAAGTAAAAATGAAGGGGACAGAATAGAACTAACATTGTGTAGATTAGAACTAACACTGTAGACAGAATAGAACTAACATTGTAGACAGAATAGAACTAACATTGTAGACAGAATAGAACTGTAGACAGAATAGAACTAACATTATAGACAGAATAGAACTAACATTGTGCAGATTATAGAACTCAATGTAGACAGAATAGAACTAACATTGTAGACAGAATAGAACTAACATTGTAGATAGAATAGAACTGTAGACAGAATAGAACTAACATTATAGACAGAATAGAACTAACATTGTAGACAGAATAGAACTGTAGACAGAACAGAACTAACATTATAGACAGAATAGCATATTCTTGTACTTTAACTTGGAACTAGATGCAACTTATGACTCTGTCTAGTTTCTGGTATTGGTTTATGATTCAACAAATGAGCATGCTCATATTCTTTACAGAAATTTACACCCTGTCATTAGATTGAAATAGAGCATTCTGGCTGTTTCGTCATTGGTTGACAATAACAGTATCAGTTTCTTAATGTGTTCCTCTGCCTGTTTAAGCTCTCGAGCTGGACTTCTGGATTACTATAGACATGTAGTTCGTTTGCATACAAGTTTTAGTGGTTTGAAATTGACTACGTGGTTACAGTTTTCTATTTTAGAAATGGGAACGTATCGTAAATCATGCAGCATTTTGCTCCTTAGCAATATTTTGGCTGACTACTATTCTCAATTCTGTAAACAGGAACCATGCTTTGAAAATGGGCAAAAGCAGCAGGAAGACTCTACACAATTGTCACGAGTGTGAAGAATCTGCGAGACATGCTGGAATGCCTCAATCTTTACTTCGAATCCCTTCAACCAAGTTTGTAATTGACCCAACAACTTTCTTATAGGGTGATTGTATTTTGGACAATTCTGGACAGAAATAATTATGGTTGGTAACACCAGAAATTACAAACTCAATAAGCGGCACGAACTTGGTTGAAGGGATTCGAAGTAAAGATTGAGGCATTCCGGCATGTCTCGCAGATTCTTCACACTCGTGACAATTGTGTAGAGTCTTCCTGCTGCTTTTGCCCATTTTCAAAGCATGGTTCCTGTTTACAGAATTGAGAATAGTAGTCAGCCAAAATATTGCCAAGGAGCAAAATGCTGCATGATTTACGATACGTTCCCATTTCCAAAATAGAAAACTGTAACCACGTAGTCAATTTCAAACCACTAAAACTTGTATGCAATCGAACTACATGTCTATAATAATCCAGAAGTCCAGCTCGAGAGCTTAAACAAGCAGAGGAACACATTAAGAAACTGATACTGTTATTGTCAACCAATGACGAAACAGCCAGAATGCTCTATTTCAATCTAATGACAGGGTGTAAATTTCTGTAAAGAATATGAGCATGCTCATTTGTTGAATCATAAACCAATACCAGAAACTAGACAGAGTCATAAGTTGCATCTAGTTCCAAGTTAAAGTACAAGAATATGCTATTCTGTCTATAATGTTAGTTCTGTTCTGTCTACAGTTCTATTCTGTCTACAATGTTAGTTCTATTCTGTCTACAATGTTAGTTCTATTCTGTCTACAATGTTAGTTCTATTCTGTCTACAATGTTAGTTCTATTCTGTCTACAGTGTTAGTTCTAATCTGCACAATGTTAGTTCTATTCTGTCTACAATGTTAGTTCTATTCTGTCTACAATGTTAGTTCTATTCTGTCTACAGTTCTATTCTGTCTACAGTTCTATTCTGTCTACAATGTTAGTTCTATTCTGTCTATAATGTTAGTTCTATTCTGTCTACAGTTCTATTCTGTCTACAATGTTAGTTCTATTCTGTCTACAATGTTAGTTCTATTCTGTTTCTGTCTACAGTTCTATTCTATCTACAATGTTAGTTCTATTCTGTCTACAATGTTAGTTCTATTCTGTCTACAGTGTTAGTTCTCATCTGCACAATGTTAGTTCTATTCTGTCTACAATGTTAGTTCTATTCTGTCTACAGTTCTATTCTGTCTACAATGTTAGTTCTATTCTGTCTACAATGTTAGTTCTATTCTGTCTACAGTGTTAGTTCTAATCTGCACAATGTTAGTTCTATTCTGTCCCCTTTATTTTTACTTTTCTTGAGCATCATGCACTCTTTTCTCTTGGTCATCCTCCTCCGGCCTACCATACTATGGGTTCAAAAGTGGCAGACACAGCGACGAACTCTGGCGTAGTCGAGGGCGAGATGGGGAGCGACGGCGAGCTACCACGACGAGGTCGGGCGGAGGAGAGGAGGGGAGGCGGCGACGAACTCGGGGGAGGCTTGGGAGCCTAGGCGGAGGTGGCGACGGCGAGGGCCAGAGCGACGAGCTTGATAAAACCCTTGTTTTTAAAGAGAGAGAGGGGAGAGAGAGGGGGGGGAGAGAGAGAGAACTGGGTTTGAAGGATTGAGGAGAGGGGGTAAGGTTATTTTGGGGATTTTAGCTTAGTTAGCATGTAATAATTGTTAAAAAGAGGCTGCAGCACAAAACGTCACACTTCAAGGGGCTGAACCACATGGGGGAAACTAGAAGGGGCTGCAGCACATGAAATTTATGTTTTTGGGGCCTGGACACATTTTTCCCAAATTACTATTTAGCTATACTATTAAACTTTCATTTCTTGGTCAAAAATAATTAAGAGGTCATCCGATATTTATCCACAAAGTTCTTAATTATTAATTTTAAAATAAATCTCAAAAAACACAAAGCTTAAATAAATCCCAAAATTTTATAGGTTATATCAAATAGGCCCCTCATGTCAGCAAATATTATCTTTAACCCCTTCATTGTTTGGAATAGTCTTATATTTCATTCCTAGAAGATAACAAAAGAAATAGAAGAAAGAAACTTTCATTAATGGGCGGGTTATTACCCAAAACCAATTGCTCATCTATACCCACCCGCCAAATGAACCATCCAAACTCATCCATTTAGTTAAATAGGCCATAAATGAGTGGGTATAGTTTATATTAAAGATAAATGGGTCATCAATGGACGGGTTATTACCCACCCATTTGCTCATTAGATGGATATTGTTTTAAAAACACCCTCAATGCTTCAACAATTACAAAACTTATTTTTAAAAGTTAAAAATTATAGAAAACACTTAAAATGACTAACAGCCCCTTCAAATTTTGAGATTTACAAAAAACACCCTCAAAGTTTAAAATATTATAAAAACACCCTTAAGAGTTAAAAATTATTAAAAAACTATCAAAATTTATTAACCCCACAGATGACACATGAAATTCAAAATTTATCAACAGCCCCCTGAAATTTTATAATTTGCAAAGAATACCCTTAAAAGTTGTAGAAAATGAGAAAAACACCCTCAAGACTTCAAAATTATCAAACAATCTTAGAGTTTTCTAAACTTGCAAATGACACATGAAATCTAAAAAATTTCAATAGTCCTCTATAAATTTAAAATTACAATTAACACCCTTAAAGTTTTAAATTTTTAGAAAAACACCCTCCATAGTTTAGAATTACAAAACCATCCTGAAACTACAAAAACTACAAATGACACATGAAATCTAAAAATTACTAGCAGCCCCCTATAAATTTATAATTTACAAAAAGCACCCTCAAAGTTTAAAATTTTTAAAAAACACCCTCAAGAGTTCAAAACTACAAAACAATCTGAGAATTTTCTAAACTTGCAGATGACACATGAAATCTAAAAAATTTCGGTAGTCACCTATAAATATCGAATTTGTAAATAACACCCTCAAACTTTTAAAAATTACAAAAAATACCCTCAAGGATATATAAATATAAAAAGTAGGCGGTCACAATTCTTCGTCAGCATGAGATATATACGTGTGTGGGATCTTTTCAGTACCTCGTCAAGATTTAATTGTTGCGTATATAGTTTGTCTTTGATGCCTACAT